GGAACCAGGCCCTGTTCCACCATAGAACTCACTAGCTGCGATCCAGTGAGTTCTGGGACAAGTCAGATCATGTCACTCTTCCACGCAAAAAACCTCCAAAGCTTCTCATGTCACTGGGGAAAAAGCTCCAGTGCCACAAGGCCTGGCCGGGAAATGAAGCCCCCTACCCTGATTATGGTATTCAGAAAACAGAGAGCTAAAAGTTAAGCCTCAGATTCACATAAAGCAGCTATACCCCGTCCACCAGAACTCCAGCTTTTTCAGATGACGATGAACATAGTCAGATTCAACTTCCTCTCTGTCCACCAGCCTTTTCCTCTTTTTCAGCTTAAGAATTAGGCCCGAGAGTGCCTCCCCAACATGAAAGGCCTTTCCAGCTGTCAGATCAGCCACATGAACCCAGTCTTCTCATGGCTGAGGGCCCTAAAACATATAACTCGATACTTCTTAATGTTAAAGCTGACCAAATTCTTCCTTGTTTGGGGGCCTTGCAGAGAATACACAAAATGTCTGGCTCCCAGTTGAGCCAACAAGTTGAATTTCCTATGAAGAACATTCTGATTTGTAAGAAGCTGCAAATAAAAATCATGTTACTTGTCTCATCCATTTCTGAGTCCCACAAAGAGGGACTCTCCCCCTTTTCCAAATCCTGGGAGGCAAGAGCTTTCGCCAGACACAATGCTGCAATAATTCTGAAGGCAGCCGTCCAGGTTCGCTTTCCGTTCTATTGTCTTTTTCTGTCAGCTCCCTCATCTTCCAGAATCCAGGCTTAGTAATTTACAGCGGAAAGACGTTTAATAAATAAACGGCCAGATTGGAGCCGTCAGCTCCCCACAATGGGGCTGTTTGCATCTTCCACAGGCATCAGCATTGGCTCCTGGCTTGCTTCAGCTAAAACAGCCCCTTTTGCTATTTTCATAAAATTAGTTCCTCTGCAGTTTCTATTAATCAGAACACTCTTTGGAGAGAATTATACTGGAATTTCATCGAACCCTCTGAGTTCAACTGTTATGTGAATCTGATGAATTTTTATCACCTCTGTGAGTGGCAGGAGAGGTAAGGAAAAGAAAAAACTTGGGTGGGCTGATGTAAGTGAGCAAAGAGCTCTTCCCTCACATCAGCTGAGGTCTTACAGACCTGGGAACCCAGATCAGGCTCCCCCACCACACATCTGAGCAGCTTTGTCCCCAGAACACGTCTACATTTATGTAGCTATAATTCCAAATCTTCTTGAAGTTACGGGCTCTTAAAATCTTATGAAAGCTATGGATACTCTGCCCAGAAAAGCCCATATGCACATATATACTAAATCTTACCTTTCAGTGGGTTTGTGGACACCCACCCCCACACACACATATGACCCATCCATGGACCCCAGAGTAAAAACTGTCCTGTGCCTTCCTAATCATCTTCACGCTCTAATAAAGTTAGACTGAAACAGCCACCTCTGATTCCTTTGTTGAGGAGAGTTTCATTGTTTTTTTTTAAACATAAAAGTGAGAAAGTTTATCATGACGGCCATATGCCTCTTAGAAAATGGAAGACCAAAGACAACTCATATTGGCTGAAAAAACTGAAAGTCCCAAGTATCCATAAGTTGATTATGGTGCACTGTATTTGTCTGGATGAGACATGAGATCAAAATTAGGAAAGTTTTTGACTACTTCTCCTTTCCTCCAGACTATATAACATCAGTCCCGTTCTAAGTAAGATAAGCTCCACATGAGAAAAGAGATGATATGGATGAAAAGTGTCATCCAAAATTAGGCCCACGGAACCAGGGTTCCAGGACCAGCTCTGTCCACTGACTATATGACTTCAGAAAGAAGTAACTTATCTCTATCAATGGAAGATTTTTTTAAAATTAAACTACATGATTTCAAAAGTCTGTTTTAGTCCCAACATTCCATGGAAACTGATTCACTAGAGACCTCTAAGATAGTAAGGATCAGAACTTCTAAGGGCCCAATATAAATATTTTAGGCTTATGGGCCACACACTCTGTATTAACTACTCAGCTCTGCTGTTGTGAAATGAAAGCAGCCATTGGCAGCACGTAAATATACGAGCATGTCTGTGCTCCAGGAAAACCTTACTTATGGCACTGAGATTTTAATTTCATATTTTTCACCTTCGGATTTTTCCAACTATTTAAAAATGTAAATACCATTCTTAGCTTGCAGGTGATACAAAAAATAGCAGGTGCCAGTTTAGGCCTACAGGCCATAGTTTGCTGACCCCTAATCTGGGGCAACAGGTAAATATTATGATCTGGATAATCACATTGGTAATTCTGGGTGACCTTGAGGGGCCAGTAACTTGGGTTCAACTACTGATAATAGTACTGGAGGAAATGTTCTTTTCTTACTTTTCTTTTCTTTTGTTTCCCAGTTTCCCAATTAGCAGAATAGAACAGTGGTAGCTTTTGCATCTCAGCTAATAACCAACAGTTACCTAAGTTTTGGGTACATTTTCAGACCTGCAGAAATGCTAAAATAATCACACATGAGCTAATGAATACAAAAAAACTGGGGGCTTTCTGGCAGAAAAAGGTTTGATAACCATAAAATGAACAAGAAAATTTTATGTCTTCTCTTGAAATCATTCCTTGCATTTCATAACCTTAATGACCCCTCCTTGCTAACCTTCCTCTCTCAGGCAGCATAACAAATGATCTTACACTTTTGAGGAAGAGGAAATTAGGCATTGGCTACTTCTGTTTTTGCTTAGAAGAAAAGAAAATTGTAATCAAATGAAATATGATACCTGCATGGCTCCCATGTACTCTCTACAGGTACAACGTGAGTGATATGCATACGGCAGAGATACAGAGCACTGTATAAGACTTGGTGTACAGAAGACAATTTTTGAAAAGAGAAAGACTGGATAATCAGGTATTCAATCTTCCCCAGAGTGAACTTCAATTAAGAGATGGCAAAAGATGGTGCACTGTGGTGACAGCACTTCTCTCAATTTCAATGAGAGGGTACGATATTATCATTTAATCAGAAAACGAATACCTCCTCCCAGTTAAGGGGTGAGATATATGTGGGCTTGGGAGGAGGGCCCCTTCTTATGAGAGAGTAAACTTAAAATGTTATCTCCATTCAGGAAGATTTAAGAAGTTTGGAGCATCTCCTCAGTCATGCTCTATTCTTAATTTATAACTTAAGTCAGTTTAATCATTAAAAGTGTAAGAAGGTTAACTTTCCCAGTCACAAGCTTTTGAACGCTTTCCCCCAAAACATTAAGGGCTCAGAACTGGTCCTGAACAGTTAGTCTACACAATGTCATTGTTCCTTATTTGTCTCCACTCTGGCTGAGGCCGGTCTCCACACTATTCTCCAGATACTCAGTGCTCAATCTTGTCTCAACCTTTTCTCTCTATAGATTCCCTTCCATCTCTGATCCACTTTTGCCATTCCTACCCATATGCCAGGGCCCAGCGTTAGTTCTAGCTGTACCATGAAGACCCACCTTAACTCTAGCCAAAGCAATATTTCCTCCAAATAACACAAGTGAAGAAGTGTTTTGAGAACTATAGCGCTCTGCAAATACATAGTAGTATTATTATCTTTGGGAAAAATTAACTATAAATTAAGGTTGGCACATTGTCACATCTTGCTTGAAAGTGCTTCCTAATTGTTTCATAAGCCGTTGATGTTAACAAACCACAGGCTATTAAGGCAGGAGTCACATCACATTTCTTTTGTATCCTCAAAGTCCTTACCAGTGGTTAGCTACAGTTAATACTCAATTCCAGTGACATGAATTAATCAAAATAATGGCTTTCTTAACCACAGAGCTCCTCACTGGGGCAAGTAAGGTTAAGTTGTTAAACACACAAGAAATTATTGGTTAGTACATATGACTGCAAATGAAACCTTGAAAGTAGAATAAATTTGAGACGTACTTTCAAAGGAATTCAACCGTCTTCTTCCATGTCACTCATAAAGCTGTGATTCAGGAGCTGAATTCCTTAAATCCTGGTTCAGTGTTCCAGGACTGAATAGTTTGCTTCATGATTTTTCAGAATTTTGTGTAAGATCAAAGGCTCAAACACTGCAGCTCTTGGATTTCGTTTTGTTTGTTCTGATTTTTGTCTGTTCGCCCTTCCTGATTCAGGCACAGAGCATGCATCCTCTGTCTTATTTCCTTTAGCTGGCCTCATTTACAGATCCAACAGGTGACATAACCTCAGAACAAAGTCATGGCAAGTTTTAATTTGCAGTTAGGCAAGAGCAGTTTGCTAAAAACAAGGACCAGCTCCAGTTCCGGAAGCCTGGAGGTGTAGCTACAAAAGACTGACTTGGTCTGACCCTGGCTCCTCTTCCCCAGTCTGTCCTGTGAGTAGAACCGTCCTTGCAACAGTGCACGTCGTAAGGCTAACGTAAGAATAATGCCACATACAATAAGGCGAGGTAAGGATAAACGAAAACGTGATGTTATTACAACTAGTGCTTCGGGCTAGGTTCCCTCTAGGAAGGCTGTTAGGGATCCTTAAAATTCCTCAGCGTGACCCCCTCACCGAGGCCTAATCTGACTTGACCCCCAAATCCCGCGGTCCTTCGGAGCCAGTAGGTCGGGGAATGAGATGCCTATCAGACTCCGGAACAGGCACTGACGTCTAGACTGCAGAACACATCGCCACACCTAAAATTGGGAGAGGGGGTTGCCTGGACCTCCGCCTCAAAGACCGGCTGTGCTGTCTCCGTGGTAACAGCGAAGAAAGCCTGGAGAGCCGCTCTCTTCGGCCCAACAGCCCGCCCTCAGGCTAGACTGACCAATGGTCCCGTGAGTTACCTGAGGCTGGTGTGATTGACAACGGATGGGGAGAGCGTGGGGAGCCTGGACTGCCTCTATCCAATCGACTTTGAGGACCGACCGGCACCGACCAATCGGGTCGTAACGGAGGGCGTCGTGTCCACCTACCACGCTCTGCGTTGCCTGGAGCCGCGGCGCCCGTAAGCAAATGAAGGGGAAGTTGGGCGTTGAAAGAGCGGCGCTGATTAGCGAATCTGGAATCGCCTGATGAAAGCCCACTTGTGATTCGCTCTAAGTAGACTAAAGCCCCTGTGGGCTGAAACAGGCCGGACTGAGAGGTGTGAGTAGGGGACCCGGGAGAGGGGAAGCCAGGTGTAGGGGGAGGAGGCGAGGAAAGAGGGGGCTGCTGAGAGGAGAGAATGGTGGGGCCTGGGGCTGAGGAGGTTGGAGAAAGGCGTGGGCGAATGGCGGTGCGGGGCCCTCTCAGGCTGGACCGCAGGCCCGGCGGTCAACTTGCGGGCAGAGAAGGAAGGGATGTTTTATTTTTCATGCTCCTAAGAAAACGAAGTGTCAGTGACTGATTCGAAATACCCCGCGACCCGTAACCTTAATCTCTTTCCCAGCTACTGGGAGGTAGCCGGGCGAACATTCTGAAGATGAGACCTGGGGGCCCCAGGTTGAATCAGCAACAGGGCAGGGAAAAGAAGCTGGATTCCCACTTCCTGGCGGGTTCAGACTCAACGGTGGAGCGTGAAGTGCTGCCTCCTGGCAGCCCTGGGTGGTGGAGTTGACGGACAGACAATTGCTGCACTTTCAAATCGAAAGAGCACCCAGGAAAAAGTATGGGAGGACGATGGAATCTGGATCCATTGATCCTCTTTTCAATCAGTGCTTTAAGAGATCGGTGGCATTTTGGTAGCTTAGCAGTTGATTTTTCCCAGATTTGCATTTTCTTTCATTACAAAGAGGCATTATCCTACCATTTAAAATTCAAACCATAATGAAGTGTTTAGAGTGGGGGAAAAAAGTGTGAAAGATGCTCCCCAATTAATTTTGAAGGTTTGGAACAGCTATAGAGGAAAATGAAAAGGAATCCTCCAGAAGGGCAGTTCACTCCTGTAACCCACTGTTTTGTTTTTTCTTTCTTTCTTTAAGATTTACTTTTTAATGCAGTAACATTGGTTTATAACATTATATAAGTTTCACGGGTACAACAGTGAACGTCCACTTCTCTATGCCCTACAGCGTGCTCACCAGCAAAAATTTAGTTTCCATCCATCACCAAACGGTGGATCCCCTTTACCTGTTTTGCCCCCTCCCCACCTTCCCCTCTGATAACCACTACCCTGTTCTCCATATCTACCTCTTTGTTTGTTTGGGTTTGTTCATTTTTGTTTGTTTATTCCACATGAGTGGAATCACACAGTATTTGTCTTTCTCCATCTGACTTACTTCACTTAGCATAATACCCTCAAGATCTATCCATGTTGTTGCAAATGGAAAGATTTCATCTTTTTTTTAATGGCTCAGTAGTAGTCCATTGTGTATGTATATGCAACTTCTTTATCCGTTCATCTGTTCATGGGCACTTAGGTTGTTTTCATATCTTGGACGTTGTAAATAATGCTGCGATGAACATAGGGTTGCATGTGTCTTTTCAAATTAGTGTTTTCATATTCTTTGGCTAAATACCCAGAAGTGGGTAAGCTGGTAGTTGTATTCTTAACTTCTTGAGGAATCTCCATACTCTCCCATAGTAGCTGCCCCAGTTTACATTCCCACCAACGGTGTATGAGGGTTCCCTGTTCTCCACATCCTCACTAACACTTTGTAACCCACAGTTTTCTGCTGCTTTCAAGGGCTTGAATCTAAAAATCAGGGGATGGGTGAGACATCCATCTCCCACTACCAGTATCACTGGGGCCACACTACCCTCCATGGAATCCACATTTGTACTGGACAGTAATCATCTGGTAATGGTTTGTAGTATTCTCACACGTGATTGACTGATGGGCAGTGTATTTTTAATCCAGTAGGCTACATGTGCAGGGGTCAGTACCTTAATGTACCCATATTCTGAGCGCTCAGTGAAAGTGTATGTAGAACCAACCATTAAATGAATGCAGAATGCACCACACATACCTCCAAAAAGTTTTGGACAAACTCTTTCCAAAAAAAGACCTCCAGCATGAGTACAAAGAGGGGAAATTTGGCCCTGTGGTTCCTCTCATTGTCAGCTGCTAAACAGGGTGTTCAAATTTAGACAGGTTATTTTTTTCCGAATCCAGTCTACCTGCTTTAAATGCCACAGACATTAAATAAATGGACTTACTTTGGAAACCAGGCTAGCTAGACCATCAGTTCTCAAAGAAGGTTTGAAAATGCCCTGGGTGTTAAATAAAAACACTGTCATTCTTTTTTTTTAAATAAAAATATACTCAGTAATTTAGCTATTCCAATAAGGTAAATAATCACAAGTATTCCAACACTGAATTCACGAGATAAAGTGATTAGATGTTCACTCCATCCCACAACAGCCCTCTATACTGTGTCCAACCCTTCCTTTCCACACTCGGTAAGAAAATGTATGGTTTGGTTATAAAGTGATGAACTTCATTCTTATAAGAGCTTAGGGGTATTCATCTCATTACTTTAAAGCCATACCATCTACGGAACCCAGTGTCACGTGAACTTTTAAGTTTCTATGGAGGATTGAAGGACAATGTTTCTAATGATACCAGCTTCAACTACCATTCGCCCTGTATTCTAGGTAGTAGAGTCAGTCCAAGTCTTACAGGTAATTTGTCTGATATCTAGCAGCAACTAAGCTCAACTGGTTATCTTGTTAAGGGCAGTACTGTTGGCTCAGCCAACCAAAGAGGAAACCTGCATCTTCTCTAATGCCATCCTCCTAAGCACCTTTCCGTTCCCACAGCTACGATGAAGCCCAGACCCTCATCCTCTCTCATCTGGAGGATTGCAATCATCTCCTAACTGGTCACCAATCTTTCTTCTCTGATCTCAATTCATATGCACCCTGCCACCAATGACCTCTTTAAAACTCAAGAATCATCTCAAAAATTTCAGAAATAGTGAATATTACACTGAGTGTTTTACCAAATACCTACACCCTACCAGCTAGGTTAATAAACATGAACATTTTGGCACATCTGCTTAAGTTTTGTTTTTTTTTTTGTAAAGAAATAAAACATCACAGATTTAGTTCAGATCTTGTTGTTCTCTTTCCTGGCCCCATTCCCCTTCCTTCCAACCTCCCCAGAGACAGACACTCTTCTGAAATTGTTGTGCATCATTCACACCCATGCTTTCATATCATTGCTATCTATGTGTACCTCGTATTACTATTCAGATATTTTTTAATTTTAAAAATACAAGTAGTAGACTACTGTGGGCTCCATTCTGCAGTTTGCTTTTAGACTCAGTATTATTTTTGAGATACATTCTAGATACAGCTAGATCAGGTTTGTTCATTTTAAGTGTTCATTATAAGTATATAATACCCATTCCCGTACTGATGGGCATTTAGGTTTTTTTCAGCTGTTTCATTCTTAGAACCATCCTTGTACGTGTCTCTTTCTGCCAGAGTTTCTCTAGGACAGTGGTTCTTCAAGGGGATGTTACTGCCCCTTTGGTCACTTTGGAATTCATGAGGGCATCTTGGGTTATTATTGTGATTTTGGAGGTGCTGCCGGGTTTACAAAGCAGGGCTGGGGGTGCTAGATGTCCTGCAATAGGCTGGACAGCCCCCCACAGTGAAGAACTGTCCTTCATCCTGCACAACTTTTGAGCGTCTCACAGGATACTTACATATAACAGGAGCCTAGAACCTAACTCCATTTTTCGTATAAACATAATGTATTTTTTGGCACAGTTTAATATAGTAAAATTTCCAGGAAGACAAGTCTAATGTAAATCAAGGGAAAATCATACTTATTTGTGGCTTGGAACTTTAACAAGTGTTGTTCATTGCCCTAGAAAACCAGAGAAATGAAGGCAGCCCAGCTCGTGGTATTTGAGTCTCGGTACAACACACCTGCACCAGCCTGCGTTTGTAGCTTTTGCGTTCAGGGTGATTCTAAGTTTAGATGAAAGCATCTGAGTGCTGTACTTCATTACGTATTCTGGTGTAGTCAGCCCGAACATTTGTATACTTAAACATATGTTGTTTTATTATGAATCATTTTCCATTTAAAATTGGCTTCTATGTATGATAAAAAGGAGAAGGTCTAGTTTTATTATTTTCTGATTGGATCACCGTTTGTCCCAGCATTATCTGCGAAACCCTTTACCCATGAATCATAAAGTCAGCTCTGTCCTGTGCAAAGTTTTCTCATCAATGCACGGATCTGTTTTTCTGGGTTCTCAATTTTATTCCACTGGTCCATGCATCTTTATGCCACCATCACACTGTTTTAATTACCTTCATTTTATAATGTGTCTTGTGGCAGTTGGTAACATGAAAGGCAAGTTTCCATCCCAGTTCTCAGAATTTGTTTTCATTATTCTTGGGCGCTTGCTCTCCCATGCGAATTTAGGATCCATTTTCAGGTTCCACAAAAAATTAATTTTAGATTTTGCTTAGAGTTGCATTGAACTGCTAGATTAAGGAAAATTGAGATGTTTCACTATTGAGCCATCCCATCCATCCAGGAACATAGATCATTTCTTCAGGCCTTTCAAAAATATATATCTTCAAATACAGTTTTATAACTTTTGCTATAAAAATCTTCACACCTTTTGTTGGACTTATTCCTCCTTATACATGTATGCATATTCATACACACATCTTTTTATCACAAAAGTTTTAAATATATTCAAAAGTATAGAAAATAGTACAGCAAACACCCATGTGCTCACCATCCAGCTTCAGCAATTAACTCATGACCAGTCTTGTTTCACATTAGCCCCCTTCTTCTCTGCCCCAGATAATTATGAAGTTCCGAGACATCGTTTTTTGTTATCTGTGTTGTTTGTGTGTGTTTGTGTCTATCTGTATAACAAAAATAATCTTTTAGCAGGATAAACACAAGACCGTCACATTTTTTTAAAAATTATATTTTTCACTTAAAAAGTAAACAGCAGTTCCCTTATATCATCAAATAACCAGTACTGCTCAGATTTCCCCAGTCATCTCATAGAAGGTTTTTGATAGTTGATTTGTTTGAATTAGGACCCAAAGCCCATATATTATGTCTGGCTGATATGTCTCTTCAGACTTCCTTTGAAGTAAACATTTTGAGAAAAAAAAAGTGTAACACATACAGGAAAGTATACAAATCAGCAGTATACAGCTAGATACAATTTTTAAAAATTAACAAAGTCATGTAACCAACACCCAGATGAAGAAACAAAATTTCACAAGCACCCCAGAACCCCCTTCATGCCCCCACCAGTCACTACTTTCTACAAGGTAACTACACTCCTGAGTTTTAACCCCAAAATTAGTTTGACCTTTTTTTGAGCATCATGTACATCGAATTATATATACAGTATGAACTCTTGTGTCTAGCTTTTTACACTCTGTATTTGTGAAACTCATCCATGTTGCTGGGCACGGTTGTAGTTCATTTTTGCTGCTTTATATTATTGTATGAATGAATAGATTTTATGTCTAATACCCCACTTTCTCTATTCGATTGATGGATATTTAGGTTGTTTCAGTTTTTCACTGTTTGCAATAGGGCTGCAATGAACTACAAGTTACTAAAAGAGCTTATGTGTACGTGTCTGTTGGGAACACACCCAGGAAAACAAGACCTGGGTCTAGGGTTCGTGTGTAATCAGGTTTATGCAGCTTTGCCAAATAGTCTCCAAAGCAGTAGTGACCACTTACACTCCCAGCAGCAGTGTCTGAGGTTTCAGTTACCCCTCGTCTGTGTCAACACCTGATATTGCCTGTCATTTTCATTGTAGCCATGCTGGTAGGTGTCTAGAGGTACTGCATTTTGGTTTTTCACTTGCAGTTTTGTGATCACTAATGAAGCTGAGCACCTCTTCGGATATTCATTGGCCGTTTTTATAGCCTCTTTGTCAAGTGTTTATTCTTAGGTACTTGATTGATCAGTTTCTGAGAAAGGTATATTAAAAAATCTCCCACTAAATTTATGAGGTTTTCCACTTACTGCAGAGAGGCTATCGATTTTGGCTTTACGTATTTCGAGGCTTTGTTTTAGGCTTATTTGTTGTGAGTTGTAGCTTTTTGTTAAATTATTCCTTTTGTGACTGTCATTATTAATATATTTAAAAGCTTTACATTCTGTTTTGCTTGATACTAACATTGCTTCATCAAGCTATATTTTATTTTGTTTTGCTTTGCTTGTTTTTTTTAATTGTGGTTAAAAAAAACCCCACATATGTAAAATTTACTATCTTAACCATTTTTAAGTGTTCAGTTCAGTAGTGTTAAGTATATTCACATGATTGTGCAACAGATCTCTAGGAAACTTTCATCTTGCAAAACTGAAGCTCTGTGTTCATTGAACAACTTCCCCTTTCCTCTCTTCCCCTTCTTTCTGTTTTGTTAGTGTTTGCATTGTATGTCTTTTTCAATTTCTTTCTTTTCAGCCTCTCTCTCATTTTGCTTTCTGTGCGGCTTTTGTAAAGAGCTATTTCTAAAAAGATCTAATATGAGAATCTCTTCTAAGACTCAAGTGTAGACTGCCTGCATTCACTATGATTACTGTTGTATTTGGGTTTATCTTTACAATCTTATTTTGTATTTTCCTTTGTTTCTTTCCACTCCTGACTTCTGCTTTCTTCCTTTATTTTTTTCACTTTCCTAGAATGGAAGGTATTCATCCTATTTCTGTTAATTGGTGTTCACCTATGTGTTTTTTAACTTGCATATTTAGCCTAAGAAAACCTATGGGTAATCATTAACGCTTACCTCCTCAGAGCAAAATAATAGTAATAACTCTCACTTCCTCAGAGCAAAATTAAGTTTGAGCTGTCCTTCCTCATCTTCCACTTAACTGTTGACAGATATTTTAGTTCTCCCTTGTTTTTAACTCGTCAAAAAATTAGTCACTATCATTACGGAAGTCTTACTGTCAGTATTTCCCAGTATTTTTCTCACCATCCCTCCTTACATACCACTTCTTTCTTGGTTCGTTTTCCTTCTTAGTGAAGTATGTCCATGAGAGGTGAGCTCCATCCCAGCCTTCGTCTGAAGACTTTGTTATTTTATACTCACTCTAGTGGGAGCCTTGCACACTGACCTCCCTACAGAGAGGGTTCTGTTTGTTTCCACCGGAATCCGACGGGCTTCTCGCTTTTCGTCTAGGTTCATGTTAACGTTACTACTTGGGATTCCCATGCCACATCGACAGTGTGACTTGAACCCCTCTCCTGCAGGGGATGCAGATTTCTCCTGGGTTATTCTCTTCTCCACCCGAGTCAGCAGCAGATGTTTTAGTCCGCATTTCAAAGACAGGTGAGCTGTCTCAGAACCTGTTGCCATGCCTTGTTCTCAGGTCAAGATCTCTGTGCCTTGGGTCTGAGACCTCATCTGTCCAGGAGAGGACCACTCCTGAGGTTTGTACCTGGTTCCAGGACTCTGCTGCTGCTCACTATGCAGGCTTTGAGTGACATTTTTGTTTATAGCATTAAAGATGTCTGTTTATTGCTTTCAAGCTCCCCTGTGTATTAAATTCTTTTTGTTCTATTTGAGTAAGCATTTCTACATGTTTGCTGTCGTGTGAGGTCCTTCCCCGGTCAGCTGTCCAGTGTATTGACCAGAATTGACATTCCTCTGTTTCTAAAATTAGATACGATCCTGTCACTCCTTCACTTGACTTCTGTGGACTTGCCAGCACTGCTTCATTTATTCATCCAACAAATATTTATTGCTGATAATCTCTGTGGAAATAACTGGGGAGATCTGTAGTGAGCAAGACAGAGGTCTCTGCCCTCTTGGAGTTTACCATTCTAGCTGGAGAGACAAAGTAAACCTGTGAACACCACCAAAATGTAAACCAAAGTTTGTGACATGAGCTCTGAAGGAAATAGAGTGAATACAGGTTCCTTTAGCCAGGACAGTCAGAGATGGCATCTGAGAGGCTACATCTAAAGCTGGATCAGAAGGATGAGGAGAAGCCAGCCCTGCAGATAGTAGATGGCTTGTCTGGGGGCAGGGTTTAATTCCAGGCAGTGGGAACAGCAGGTACAAGGACCTGGAGGTGGGAGAACCCTTGGTGTGTTGAGTTACTGACAACACCAGTGTGCTCTAAGGAGGAGAGAATGGGCCAGAGGTGGTTGGGGGTGTGGGGGGGGCGCCCATCCGCTGCCATCCCCTGTCTGCCCCGCCCCCTCCCCCCTTACTCTGTCCTTTGGCCTCACCTTTTCTTTCCCTAATGGGCCCATGCAAAGCCACCTCCTTTATAAAGCCTTTCTCACATCTCAACTCCCATCACACTTTGGTTTTTTTACTTATCAGAATAGAGATTTGTTCGAGATTTGCAGATACTAACTACTATAACAAGTTTCTACTGTACAGCACAGGGAACTACATCAATATCTTGTAGTAACCTATAATGACAAAGAATATGAAAACAAATATATGTATGTTCATGTATGACTGAAACTTTATGCTGTGCACCAGAAGTTGACACAACATTGTAAACTGTCTATACTTCAATAAAAACAAATCAAAAAGATTTTGAAAAAGAATGGAGAGTGGTCCACATGACAGTGTTCTCCAATAAGTCTTAAGCCTCTGTTGGAAGAAATGTCTCATTTACCTCTGTGCTCCCAGCTTGTAGCACAAAGCTCTGCTCGGTAGGCACAAAGTCAGTGGTGACTGAAAAAAATGTTATTTTTTTGTTGGTTTTTTAGTGGTTTATGCTTAGGACTTACTTTCCAATATTTTTATAGCAGGACTTCTTATGGATAATAAATTTTTGGTATTTAAGCCATCAGGGTAAAGAAAACCATCAGCTTGAGGAGGAATTTGTTCGGCTGAAGGCTCAAGACTCGCCTCTGATGCATATAGGGAAAATCAGGAGAGATACTGTGGTGTGATGTTACCCTGGAGTGGGTGGAATAGTGGCCCCAAAAAGGACATGTCCACATCCTAACCCCTGGAACCTGTGAATGTGACCTTATTTGGGAAAAGGGTCTTTGTAGATATAATTAAGTTAAGGATCTTGCGATCACAACGGATCACCTGGGTGGAACTAAATCCAATTAGCAGACGTTAATACTATCCCATCACATGATCCCTCAGTTACCTCTTCTGTAACCTGGATATGATCATACCTACCTCAGAAGCTCAGGGCCATGACTGAATGAGATGTATTTGTAAGGTACTCAGCACAAGTGAATGTTCAAAAATAGGGATGGCTTTTCTTCTCCAGGGACTGAGGAGTTTGCCTCCTTTTAAGAATAAAAAATCAACAAAAGAGTGGGCCATTTCTGTCTCGTGACTGTCCAGTGAGTCACAGCTCACACCACAGACTTAATCTGAGAGGCCCCTGGGACTCTTGGGTCCCGACGCCTCTTACAGCCCTTGGAAAGTCCAACTTCTGGGTTGTGGGAAGACAAACCAGAACTCAGATGCCAAACCTGAACTGACCCACACGGAGCAGAAAGCCACTGCTCAGTCCTCACCAAGGAGAAAGGTGTGGGCTCTAAATTTCTGATTCCGATTAAGGGACTCAGCTTTCCCAAAGACCAGTACTGATGAATCCTCCAATCATCAAAAATCCCCCAGAATCGATCAGGACTTTCTATGTTTGTCTGAATGCCCTTAGGAGACCCAGGAGCGTGCCGAAGTCGGACGGTACCCGGGACAGCTCATCACACCGGTCACCTGCCTGTCTCCACGCATGGCCGGCACCGTGCTGGGCGTGGGGGCCGGCGTGTTCCTCCTCGCCCTGCTCTGGGTGTCGGTGCTGCTGCTGTGTGTGCTGTTGTCCAGAGCCTCCGGGGTAGCTAGGTAAGGCCTTCTCGCCAGCTGGGAGTCCCAGGTAAAAGCAATTAGAAGCGAAATCGCTGACGCTCGTGAAGCATTGAGGATTCAGAAGCTCATTGTTGTAATTACTGGCAGTTGGAATGAGTTGCATTTTAACCTCTTATCATAAGCACTCGCTGTGCTATTTGTGCTCGGAAGCAGAGGTGGGAGGAGAGGGAGGTGGTATCTGTCAGCTCTCAGTGCAGAGATGGAGACACAAGAGATGAAAGGAGGATCTGTTTTCGCTGCCTAATGAGCGTCTCGGGGTTGTGCGTGTGTGTGTTTCTTGATTGTTCAGATTTATGGCAGGTGCTTGGACCAGTCCCCAGGGCTCTAGACCTGGGCCCGGGGAGGCTGAGGAGGCTCTGGGAGACTTGGGCGGGCACCCTGTTAGGTGCCACACACTGACTCTGAGAACACTACAGAGTCACACGGTCTGGCTGGATAATGCGGGTGCAAAACAGCAAGTTACATACTTTACTTAAGTATTCTGGTTCAAGGCCCCGCAGTGGGGGTGGGGGAAGGCTGCTTCCGTTTTTCCTGATTATGACCATGCAGAGGCAAAAATGAAAACTCCCAATTCCCATTCTTAGGAATTTGGAACTACCAGGGGTGAACAGGAGCGCATCCCTCTGGTACCTGTCTGGGAGGAAGGGCGTTGGGATGAAGGGGAAACATTTCTCAATTCCCTCGGCCACGTGGACAGTGCAGGAAGCACCGTCAAGGGACTGGAAGAGAATATTGATCCCAGGGCAGGGCCAGTCCTGGCCTGACTGATTAGAGAGGAAACTAAACAGTGCTTTTAACCCTCTTTCGACCCCAGGTTCTCTGTCATTTTCGTGTTCCTCGGGGCTCTGATTGTCACCGCTGTCCTGTTGCTCTTACCCCGAGCCAGCGAATTCCCAGCCCCCAAGGCTGAGATGAAGGTAAAACCGTAAGATTTGTTTTGCCTCCTTAGTTGTAATTCTTCTTTCTATTGGACTAGACCTGCGTCCTGCCCACCACGGTCCCTGATGCCAGGTGGGCGGAGATGTGTTAGAACAAGTTGGAAAGTTGACACCTGAAGGGGTGGGGGAAGCTCAGAGGGAGTTTTAAGGACCCCCCCCGGGGGGAAGGCCGTCAGAGGGACGTTTAACGGACCCCCCCCCCGACCCCCACGGAAGAGCACCTGCTTCTGATGCTCACGTGCAGCACTGCCCACAACTCTGCCTGATTTGGTCTCATCTCCGCTTTGCATCAAGTGGAAAGAGCAGTGTGTCCAGAAGCCACGCCGCCTCTGGGGCCGGGAAAGAGCCTGTCCTGAGTGAGAGTCCTGCCTCCGAGGCCTCAGCACAGAAACTGATCCCCACCCACGCGTACGCAGGGCCCTCAGATGCCAAATGACAGGCTTTTCCAGCCCCACGTGTTTGACTTTTCCACTTGTAAAGTGGAGGGAGTATTTTCCATAGGGAAGAGCGAGCAGGTGGGGCGGGAAGCAGAAGTTGTAGAGATAGTTGCATTTAATACTAATAGACTTTGGGGAAGTTCCTTTGGTCCTCATTTCCAGAACCACATTTCCCAGCACCTACCTGTCTGAATGGATTTTTCTTGTCTCTCTCATAGACCACCCGCTAGTCTGGTTCATTCCTGAGTGGGGCTCTGGCTTTGCCATGCACATCTGGTCTCAGACCCCTATGATCGTGATAATGGTCTTGACTTCCTGCGTCCCATTACTCCTTCTAGCAGCTTCTTTCCTCCATTTTAATTTTTTAAGTTGTGATGATGGCAGTAGCTAACATCTTTTAAGGCATCCCTGTGTGCCAGGTCCTGTGCTAAGCACGTTATTCACATGGTCTCATTTAAACCTCAGGACAACCCTAAGTGGCATGAAATAGGTACTATCAGTATCCCCATTTTATAGGTAAGGCCACCAAGGCCAGAAGAGATTAAGGTAACTTGCCAAGGTCAGACCATATAGGAAGAGGCAGAGCAAGGATTCAGGCTGAGGTCTGTCTTCAAAACCTTCATTGTTGGGGACTCAACAGAATCCTAGGGAGCATCACAGAGTTCATAGGTGCCTATTTAGACAGCAGTACACAAAATTATATAACTTCTGAACTAAAATCAGCACACATTTCCAATTCTATCTAGGACTAATCATGGCAAGAGGGAGGAAATTCGTTCTGAAAATTCCACGGGAAATTCTTACCACACAAAGATAAGGAATTTTTTTCATACGTGCCAGGGTTTTTGGTCAGCAGTTGAAAACCACCCTGACCATCTCAGGACCGTGTGTGAGATCTAGGGTGAAGACTCCCACCCTGGTCTCCCGATCTTACAGGGGAAGAGCAGTGAAGGCCGTGCATTTCCGGATCCCTGCAGATGTGAATGCTGGGAGAAGGGCGCAGAGCAAGCGCTGTTTGGAAATCCATCCCTGTGTCCTCTATTGCAGGAGTTTCAGACTCAGGAGAGCAGAATGGGTTTTGAGCAAAATCCATTCGTCAGCACAGCCAGCAGGACTGGCGTTCTCATTTTCAGGTTTTGAGCACCAGCCCCTGCAGCCGCCTGGCTCAACATAGTATCAATAATACATGGCCTGGGCCTGCCGCACCCAAGGCCTGCTAATTGGCTAATTAAAAAGGGAACCTTGTTGAATGAGCAAACATGGAGCCCACGAGAAACTTGTTCAGTGCTGGAGCCAAGGTCAAAGTCATGTCAAAGCTGTCTTATCACATTGACCTTTGTTGTAAGTTGGCTGTTGGGGTAACCTCCGGAGTAGCCCTTTGCTTCTTGGCAAATCTGAGGCTCAGTTATCACAGCAGAGCTTGGACTTGACAAGGTGGATCCACCACTGCTGTAACAAATTACCACAAACTTAGTGACTTGCAACACAAATGCACTGTCTTCCAGTTCTGTAGGGAAGAAGTCCAAAATCAGCCTCACTGGACCAAAATCAAGGAGTTGGCAGGGCTGTCTTCCTTTCTGGAGGTTCTGGGGAAGAGTGTGTGTCCACCCTTTCCTGCTGCTAGAGGCCACCCTTGGCCCATGGCCCCTTTGCTCTGTCTTCAGAGCCAGCAGAGTAGTCTCTCAACACCGCCTCCATCCTCACAGCCCTGCCTCTGACCCTCCCCCCTGCCTCCCTCTTATCACGTGTAAGGACACTTGTGATGACACTGGGCCACCTGGGTGGACACACCAGGCCAGTCCCCCTACTTTAAGGTCAGTTGATGAGCAACTTTCATTCCACCTACAACCTTAATTCCCTTCTGTCATGTAATTTAACACATTCACAGTTTCTGGAGATGTGGATGTGGGCATTTTAAAGCCAGATTCTGTGACCACAATCGCCTTTCAGGTACTTTGGGTTCCCTTTAGGAGCTGGGTTCTGAAAGCTTCTGGACTTGCAATGTTCCCAGTCACCTGCTTTTTGCTGCTCCATTAAGTCTGTAGATTAAAATGCTTTTTCCTGCTGCCATTTGGATCCGAGGAAAAGAGAGCTCTGGCAGTGAACAGTGGACAAGTGGGTAGAGCCAATACCAGTTGTAAGTATTTGTCAGCAAAGACCAACTGTTTGGGGGCCTCAAGAATGACTGGTTGCCAGGCAACCAGCTATATGATTTGGGGCAAGTTACTTATCCTCTTAGTGATTCAGTGTCTCAGGTAAATGGCCTGGAATTCGGGGTTATGAACCTTAGAGTTCAGAACTCTTCTGATGAAAATTTTAAAGTCACTTTTTTTATTTTGAAAATGACCCCTCCTGATTGGCAGTGGATTGATGATTTAGGAGTTTGAATCTTGGGTATGTGGGGTTTATTATACAGCTCTATTTTTATATGTATTTAAAATTTTCCAGAATGGAAAGTTAACAGCAACAAGGTGATCCTTCCTAAGACCAAGCGAGCAAGCTTCTTGTTCACGCCTGCAGATGACTGACCCCAGAACATGGCAGACCTCATCCAGGGTCTCCAGAGTGCTTATGAACTGCCCACGTTGAGCCATTTGTCTCCTGTACTTCACTCAGCCTTTCTTTAGCTTGTATTTCCAGCTCAGGGCGTAGAGAAAAAGGCTGGTTCTTTCTTAGCCATTTACAGAGTAGATTCGGCAGGTTGTTGCTGGAAGTTACAAACGTGGACAGTCTCTGAGCCCATTCATCAGAGATTTCAGATGAGCACGGCCAGGATGTGGAAATAATAGTAGTTTCATTTTTGATGTTTCTTTCTCCAGATTGTGGATGCCTTTTTCATCGGCCGCTATGTCCTGCTGGCTTTCCTCACTGTTGTCTTCCTTGGAAGCCTCTTCTTGGTGCTAATCCATCACATCCTGGAACCAATCTATGCCAAACCACTGCGGTCCTACTGAGCACCCTTCAGGAAAACCAGACCCTGTCCTCTCCCTCACTTTGATGTCACTGATGAGCAGAAAGACACTGTTCAGAGCCTTGTTTTGACAGCCTTCATACCTTAAGATCAGAGGAACATCCATCCATCACTAAGACAAACCCTGTGAGTCCTGGCTTGCAGAAACGGTTGCAAAGTTGCCCCTGGGGAGAGAGTCGCACCAGTTCAGGAGGGATATTGCTGTCTTCTTAGCCCCGGTACCTCAGGTTTTCAATCTCTTTTGAAAGGGAAACAGCAACAGTGATTTGCTTAGAGCAGATTTTCAATCAAGACATCAGTAAGTGAATTTGGGGGAAAGGAGCACTTTGGCTTCTGCTGTCCAGTAGATGGAAAAACCTGGTCCTTTTTGATAACATGTAAAATTCTTAGTTACAAGGTCAAGATCATTTGAAAGGGATAGGCACCAAAGTTCGAAAGGTAATTTTCACGTGATGACCCGGAAATGTTCAAGTGTCGGTTAGGACCACTCTGCATATCACGACTCAGGGCTCTACAAGGGTAATGGTGTCCCTTCCTTCTGCTCCCAAGAAAGTCAGCAGCAGCCAGAAGACTGACTTCCACCCCAAACTCCTGGCCACAGCTTTCTGAATCTACTGTTTCTATGTTTGGGGTTTACTCGGGGATTAGAGGCAGGATATGGAGATGTCGGTGGTTTGTCTTGCTGCTCTGTCTCTCTGGATTCTTTTTCTTCCAGGATTCAGTAGCCTTTGTTGCCTTATTTAGTTACTATAAGAGCCCATTTGGGGTAACTGTCTTCTCTTTCATCTTTGTAGCTCTTTCTCCAAAGCTGGTGAGGAATGTCTGTTCCTAGGATCAGATATACCTTATACTTTACACCTAAGCCCCTAGCTGAAGTGAAATGTGTCATTACACGGAGTGGCTCTGGGCTGGTTCCACTTTGGAAGTCTCATCCCGGCTCCCGAGAGCTGTTTAAAGAAGGATCTTCTGGCTTAAAATGAAAAGCCAGAAAAAAAATTGGAAAAAGGACTTTGATTGAGGACATGCTATGTGCCAGTAGTACACTAGTCTATTTTTTTTAATTTTTGTCACCAATGTAAATGACAGACTTGTGTGTTAAGAACAGTAATGCATTTCATACAAAGGGTAGTTTAGCCCGACCTGCCTTCTGTTGGCCCCATAACTACCAGCAGAGGTGAAACGGATGCTAGGTTACTTTCTGCCTTCATACTCGAAGTCCCCACAGGGTTGGGATAAGAAGTAGAATGCTGGGAGGCCCAACATGAATTTCACTGAGTTCTACATGGGGCGCCCCGATAACCAGTGCCGAATATGGCCCCCCTTGTTTTCACGGCCTTCCTGGGGGCGAGGCTTAGAGGGCATCCCTTAAACACGAACCACCTCATTCATGGTTCTTTGAGCAATGGTCTTGGAGCAGGTTGTGCAACCCAGAGGGGATCCCATGACAGACTGTGATGATCCCACTGTTGGGAAGTGGGGGAGGGAGGGTGAATCAGGGTTTTTATATAAGAAAACAGGTTATTTCATAGCCTCTTAAAACTGTGTCCTGACAAAAACTAAATTAGCAGGAGGCCACCCTATCCCCACAATGGAGATGTTCGTCTGATCCACTAGGTGGCGCTGTGTGTTACGCTTTAGAAGTCTCAAGCCACCAAAACACACTAGGTTAATTTTTTGAGTTCCTTGTGTTTCTCGCTTATAAAATAGAAGTAAAGCTAACATTTTTTGCTGATGCACGGGATCTGATATTTCATCTAAAAATTAATCAAACTTACTGTAAGATGCTCAGTTATCAGGGAGTGCTCAGCCATTCATCCACACTGCACAGAGCAGGTGTCACCATTCACTCAGCATCCACTGTGTGCCTCCTGGGGGTAAAGCATGGTTCTGCTGCAGTAAATCAGCCCAAGGATGAGACTCTGAGGAATCTAGGCTGTCTTCTTCACTCCCACCCTGGGAGAAGGGCATCCAAATCATTTAACAGTATTTTAATTCTTTAAGAATTTTTTATATTTTTATTGAACTGCAGTTGATTTACAGTGTTAGTTTCAGGTGTCCAGCAAAGCGATTCAGCTATACATATACATACAATTATATTTTCTTCAGATTCTTTTCCATTATAGCTTATTGCAAGAAATTGAATATAGTTCCCTGTGCTGTACAGTAGGTCCTTTTGTTTATCTATTTTGTATATAGTAATGTATACCTGTTAATCCCAAACTCCTATCTTATCTCTCTCTCCTCTTCTTCCCCTTTGGTAACCATAGTTTATTTTCTATGTCCGTGAGTCTATTTATGGTTTGTAAATAAAATTTGTATCTTTTTTTAGATTCCACATATAAGTGATATCATATGATATATGTCTTTCTCTGTCTGACTTACTTCACCTAATATGATCATCTCTAGGTCCATCTGAAATGTTTTTATGGTCAACATAAACTAATCAATTTCTTGTTCTGTTCTCTAAGGCAGAAACTTTTCTATCACCTCTGTCTCATTGCTGCTGCAGGTGAAGCATTTTTGTTTTCCTTTTATTTTTATTCATGTGTAAAGAAACCTGCTACAGTTATTTCAGATGAGAAACAGGCGGAGATTTTTAAAGTGGCGCAGTTGGTGGTGGGGCTCCAGCTTGACATCGGGCGGGATTCCTGACGTCTCCTTTCTCAGATAGTTTAAAGATCGGTTTTGACTTTCCTGACAACTGCTTATTTTTTACATTGGTTAATGCTATTTCTTCACTTTACTCACCATTCCCCTGATGCATATCCAAAAATGGTGAACATTTCATTAAAGAATTCCGAATTGACATTTCTAGTACAAGTAACAAACATTTTATCATAACTTCCTGGCTTAAACCTTTAAGTATTTGGCTCTTATTACATAGGAGCAAGTTTCCAGCCATGGGAATTGAAACTGCATGGAAATGAATCTGGAGAAGGGTTGACGATCCTCACAGGAGCATAAAAACTCGGGCCTGGAAGGGATGTTGTAGTCCACCAAGTTTAACCTTTACTCTCTGTCTCAGTAGTTGGGAATATTCTTTTCTTCCCATGCTGAAATCACAACTTTTATTATATTTAGCAAACAAGCTAGACATTTTTCTAGGTATTAACTTGCGTAATCCTCATGGCAACCCTGTGCAATAAGCACTCAGCACCCCCACTTCACGGACGGGGCACAGGCACAGAGGGGCGAGGTGGTTTGCTTGAGGTCACTCAGCGAGGGATTAAATAGGAGTCGGGACCTGAGGTCGGACAGTCTAAGCTCTTAACTGCTAGATACTCTGTTGCTTCATAAGATGAAAACACAGGGAAAGGAGGGACCAAGGTAATACTGAAGAGAAGCAGCTGAGTCTAGTGGAAAATCCAGAATCTTAGGGATTGGCCAGGAATCAGGGCCAAGTTTAATGTCACGTGGGGCCTCAGGGACAGCATCACCGTTCACCTCTGGCTTTGGCAGGTCTCTGTGCTCTTAGACTTTGGCATCCCCCTCACCTAGAGATACTCACCCATGGGGCAGCTTGTGGATCGAGTGACCAAGGACTTACACAGCAATCTCTCTCTTCAGCACTGTTTTCTGTCTACCCAGAAAGTTTGATACTTGGATTGGTTTTCAGAAGTGCCAGTGGAAGAGTCAAGGCCACAAGCCAAAAATGTGCATATGTTTCTTGATCTCTGTCTCTAGCAGATCCCGGTGGTTGCTGTTTACTCAAGGAAAAAAAAATGTTTCCAAGTCCCTGCACTTGCACCCCGACACACACCCTCCTGTCTCAGGTTCCTGGGACCTAAGAAATGACAGCAGGGATCAAAATCGGGCCCAGAACCACAGACAGAATGAGAAAGCTCATTTTCTGGTCTTGCTCACATGCTCTGGACACTGTAGAAGGTGTGCATTAGCCCTGATCCTGCCTGCAGAGAGCTCTCGGGGTACTTACATACGTGGCAGCTATGCGGTACCTAGGTGCTCCATGGCCATCCTTCCACTTAAAAAAAAATCTTTGAGAATTTCTTCAGTTTTGCTGTCTTCAAATTGATATTGCCCCCGTTTTACACTGGGGACATGTAATAGTTTCCTGTCACTGCTGTAACAAATCACAAACCGAGTAGTTCACAATAATACAAGTGTATCATCTTACAGTTCTGGAGGTTGGAAATCTGAAATGGGTTTCACGAGGCTAAAATAAAGGTTTTGGAGGTTCGAGGGGAGAATCCTGTTCCCTTGCCTTTTCCAGCCGTGGCCTTTCCTCTCTCTTCAAAGCCAGCATCTTCTAACCCGACACCTGACTCTGCAGCCTCCCTCTTTGATTTATAAGGAGCCGTGTGACTCCACTGGGCCCACCCTGACATCCCACATAGTCTTCCCATAGCATGGTCCTTAACCACATCTGCAGAGTCTCATTTGCCATGTAAGACAACATTCACCGGTCCTGGGAATTAGGATTATGGACCTCCCTGGAGGAGGGGGTGTGATTCTGCCTCCCATCAAAGGACTGCCGCCTTGCACCCTCCCTCTCCCATCCTCCCTGCACCCCACGCCTCTGTAGACAAGGTCTGCCCCTTGAGCTCCAGTACCTGTCCTGTCCTCGGAGTGCCCACTTGACACCCATGGTGTGTCATTTCCTTCCCCCAACTTCAGTCTTAGTGGCTGCCACCGCAGAGAGCTAAGATCTACCAAGACTGCTTCCCCTTCCTCCCCCACCCCCCGACTAGCCTAGCCTCCCAGTGGATCTCTAAAGGAGAAATGCAAAGAGTTACTGCTTTTTAATTACAAGGGCTGTTGTAACATCTATAAGGAAGAACACTTTAAGCTTAATTGAGACCAAATGTGAAGTTAAATTAAATGAATAACTAATTAACGTAATGCTCCTACATTAGCCCCGAGTGAGTGCCGAGGCCCAGAGAGGGGGCAGGTCCTAGGCCTCTGGGGACAGTCAGTGCCCAGAACTGCGGTGCGGCAGGGACCCTGGGCCTGGAAGACAAGTGTGCAAGGACAAGTCTCAGGGCGGGGGCCCCAAACTCTACCTCCAGCCCCAGCCCTCATGTCCGAGGCCGCCCCGAGCCCCACAAGCCCTGTGCATCTCCGCAGCACCACGCGGATCCGTTTTCCCGTCCCTGTGCCTAACGTACTGGGGGCTTGACACGTGTTCATTTTAACACCCTCCCCCTTCCTTGTTGTCCCCTCACTTCCTCATCAAACTAATGGCCTAAGTCCTGCTCCTTCTTCCTTCTGGATGGTCACGTGTTCCTCCCACTGCCCCTGGCTGCCAGCCCCGACCCGAAAGGCTGGACGTCGAGGTGGCTCAACGTGAGTCACCACCCCGAGGGCTTTCTCCCGTAGCGTTTCAGCACTTCCACGGTCCTGTCTCAGCCCCTGACTAGACAAGCCCCTGAGGGCAGGGGTGCCTCTGGCCCCGAGCCGTCTCCCGTCGGAGGGCGCCTCTGAGGTCGACAACGTTAGTACCATTTTCTAAAGAGGAAAGGGCTCAAAGCCATTGGGGAGTGGTGAGGAGGGGGAAGCGGGGGCCGCCAGAGTGAGCGCCCAGGGAGGTGCAGCACTCCACTCCCCTCCACCCTGCTGGGGGAAGCGGCCCAGTGAGGGAACCTCGCCTCCCTGCCCCACCTCCTACCCGCCACCCCCGTCAGTCCCCCCCCACAAGCGCCCCCCAAACGCGGCTGGAAGCAGAAAGGAAGCCCTGGCCATGCGGGCGCTACCGTGGGATGATGGCGCCATCTGGTGGCTCCCCTGAGTGTTGCTGTCAGTTAAACATGGTGTTGAAAGAAGCGTCCGTGAACATGAACACCTGGCCCTCCGCGGCAGTTCCACCATGGGACCTGAGGACTTGGACGGCCCGCCTGGCTCCTGCTTTCAAAGCCAGAATGGGTCTCAGGCAGTCTGAGACATCCTATCTGTCACCACTGGCGTGTGTACGGCTTGTTTCAACATGCAGGGATTTGTATCCAGTGAATGCACCGGTCCCCACAGGCTGGCCCTGAGGGCCATCAGTGTGGTCACGACCACCTACTCTGCAGCCACCAACTGCAGGCAGCCCCAGCACACTGCCCTGTGGTCCTGGGTCACCACTCCCAGAGCTCCCATGAGCCCTGACAAGGATGGGCACAGGCGCTGTGGGTGCTGATGGGCAGCTTCAGAGGGCAGACAGAAACGCCAAGAGCCAGCCTGGCAAACCCAGGGATTTCACGGGACAGAACAAGCACGTCGGGAACACGGGGGAGAAGAGGCCGGCTGCAGAGAGCCACAAACCACGCACAGAACAGCCGCCTGGATGCAGCCAGCAGCCCCTCCCCCCTTGCTAGTCTTGTCACCCTGGTGCCTGTGCTCGGGGTCGGTCTTCTTGCTGTGTCCACTCAGAGAAGAGCTGGTGAACAGTGAGCACTCAATAACCACTGGCATTTCATTATCAAAATATTTAATGCATATATTGGTATTTTCAGTCATGCCCACCCCACCCCAAACCATTCCCCACAGCACTGCCCTGATGTGCCACCGTCCCTGGGGACACAGAGGACTGGGACTCGAGCAAGGCAGGGGGCGCTCACTCTCAGGGGCGGCACAGGTCCGAGCCCGGGAGTGATGACTCCTTGCCTCTCCCTAGTCCTGGCCCCGGAGGATACAGCAATAATGCTTTAATCAAAACGGATCAAGAGTTAGAAACAGGATCAAATGGAGGGTAGGAGAGGTGCCACAGGGGGGAACTACCTGGAGAAAACCAGCTTGTGGACAAAGGGACAAAGAGGGGCCGGGTGGCTTGAAAATACCCACTTAGAGGGACAGGCTGATTACAGAGGTTCAAGTTTAACGTGAGAAGGAGACATTTTTTCCAGGCCTTGGCTCCACTGAAACTCTGCCTTCTGTGTTGGAATCTAAAGCAGCAGGAGTTTGAGCATGTCCTTCTTGTACCAAATGGAGACCACACTCAGCCCTGATCCCCGACCCTTCTGCCCACAGCCTCCAGAGCTCACACCTGTACTGCTGTCCGCGTAACTGAGGCCATCTTGGGCCCTCACAGTCTCTCCTCTTCTTTTGCTGACTCTACCCAGGACTGTGCTGTGTGGTGAATCACTCCTCTGTCATCAAGAGCCTTGTAGTTAATAGATACTGTTTAATAACCATTAGGACCAGGTAGCCTCTATGCTCTGTTAGTCTCCAAACAATGATGAAAACCTTCCCTGACGTATTCCCGGCACCCACACGACCAGTTATCCATTCATCATCTTAACTTAGGAATGCCTGCCTGCTTCCAAGCTCCTGCCCCGACCTAGGTTAACTACAAAGTCGTCCCAACGGCCCCTCCGCGGTGCAGAGCGCAGCTGCCAATGCTTCCAGAGTGTATCTACCTGAGTTGACCCCGATCCCACCCCATGAGTAAGTGACCCTGCGATAAACTGATCCACTGGTCTCGTGGAGCTGCCGGCCTAGTGTTTGGTCTCAAGATGCCTTCCCAGTTCAGTGGGCACTTTCCTTCCATCCTCCAGCAAGGCCCCTGGGTCTTCCGTGTCCTCAAGCTTGGCAGTCCCCTTCCTGTGGAGTCTCCTGGCCCGTCAGAGCCCGTTGGCTGGGCCAGCTGCTGTCGGGTCAAGAGGCTTTGCCTCAGCGATCTGTGGGGGAGCACTCTGGGGCCCGGCGGGGGCCCTCCACGCTTCTGTCCTGATTGGGGCCTCACATTTCTCTATACCTGTGTGAGGAGAGAGGCCACGGAAGAGAAAGTGAGACACGGATTCACAAGCTCCTGCCCCAGTGGAGGGGACAGGGAGGGCCAGTTCCTAGGGCCCCATCATAACTGCCTCTCATCCCCGTTCACTATAATTCGTGCTCCCTGTCACCTCTTCAGCAGGGAGCACCAAGCCAGAATGATGCTAAAAAACTTTACAACATTTGTACCACATTTGACAGTTTGCAAAACAGTATGACATCCCATCTTGTCACTGCCTGAGGTCTACCCTGTTGGGTGTTTAGAAGTAAGCACCCCCATTTTACACACAAGGACGCGGACGTACAGAGAAGCTGTGCAAGGTCTTACAGATGCGAGTGAGCAGAGAAGTCAGGATTGTCCAGCATTTCTGGTCCCAAGCCCCATGCTCCCTCTGCCCCAGCAAGCGACTCTGCTCCGCACACACAGGCCTTCCTCAGAGAGAAGGACCAGCCTAGGATGGCAGCCGTGCAGAGAAAAGCAAGCCCCACATGCTTGGGCTCAAATTTAGACTCTGCTGGGACTAGCTGAAGGCCTGAGGTATATTCCGTGAGTTCTGAGCCTCCGTCCTCTCATCTCTGAGTGAGAGCACCTACCTCGCAGGGCTGCTGAGAGGTAAGCGGGTACATCTAATGTCCGGCTCGGCTCACGCACAGCGTGCAAGCTGACTGCACGTTCATTCTTTTCCCTTTCCGCTTCGCTTCCTCCCCTCCCTGGGTCCCCTCGGGCCAGGCCCGGGGAAGGCAGGGGGAAGGAGCACCCCGCTCCTCCGCCGAGGCAGGGCAGGACAGATACTCCCTTGATGCCTCCTGCTCTCCAACCCCCACCCCCAGCCAGGATGACACCTTCCTTAAAGGAGGTGCTTCTCTAAGTACAGTGCTGGTTACCGTGACCCCAGTGGGCTCTTCCTCATTTACCATTCAGACCAGGTCCACTGCTCTGGTAGCTTCTCATTAGCAAGAGCTTCCTAAGGAAAGCCAGAAAGGTCACGAGAGAACATTGCCAACCACAGCGCCAGCCGCGAGGCGTGCCTCCGCCACGCGCCTATCTGGGTGGCCTCCACACCCGCCACCACGGGCAACAGGCAGAGAGCGCAGCAGGCCAGCTTTGGGTTTTGTTCCAGAGGCTTCGCCAGGTAGTTGCACTTTCTGCACACCCCAGGCAGAGGGGCCAGACGACCCCGGTTTCTGAACTGCGGGAGGCACAGACAGCTCAGGTCGGAGTTCAGAGGGAAAACGGTTTCCCCGGACGCTGCCTCCTCTGTCCTGGGGGTACGTCCAAAGGCCTACCGCTCTCCCTAAGGGGAAGAGGCTGCCAGCCTCCACAGCAGCTCAGGCCCCTTAGGAAACTCTTCCCAGGCATCGCGGGAAGACGGGTTCAGAGTCTTTGGAACTGGCCCCCAAGGAAAAAGAGAAAGTTGGAAAAATTGCACTGGAGGAGAGAGGCTTTGCATGCAAGTCCCATGCTGACGGCACACTGGTCACAGACTTGAAGAAGATACTCACAAAAGTCATGGGATTTGAGGAAAATACTACCGCGCGTGGGTTAGGGCCACACTAGAGCTATGGAGACACACAGGGACAACAGAGGACAGGTTAGTGGGGCCGGTGGCCGGGGAGGGCGTTCACGGAGCATATTCGGGGTCCAGAGCCACATTCCTGACGCCTGGGCTGGAGCTGGGCTCCGACACGTGCAGAGCCACCGAGCGCTGGTTCTGACGCCCGTGAGAAGGCAGGCTGGGGAGATGGGGCCCCAGCTGTCTCCCCAGACCCCCGGAGGACTCACCCTTTGTCTCTTCTCAGGGATGACCTCCAGGCCAGGATCTCTTTGTACACCAACCGGCAGAGGAGCTGGGGGGTCAGCCGCACAGAGGGAAGGGGGGACAACATCAGCATGGAGCACGTGGGTGGTCCCCGGTGCCAGGTGAGCTCACAGTGCCATTAGGGTCACCACGGGAGACAAGGTGGTTCTGAGCACAGGGAGCTGTTCTCATTGCCCTAGAGCCCCAAATAGCCAATGCTGTGGACCTCCAGATGTCCAGCCCCGCTGGACGGGACCCTGCCCCATACCCATCTGTGCCCCTCAAAACTCTTACCAAGCAGGCCAGGATGTCGGCAGAGATGAGCATGTAGAAGACGTTGTTCCATCCTGTAGGGGAAATGAGCCCGGCCAGCAGAGGTCCCAGAGCCGCACCTGCATGGAGCACAGCCTCAGAGCAGGCCCTGGCCCGCCCCGCCCACACGAGGGCAGCATCCTAAGAGTTTGCCAAGACAAGGTCCTGGCTCAGCTGCCAAGAGCCAAAAGGGAGGAGTCACAGACCTATGGACCCGGTGCCGTCGATGATGGCCGTGACGGTGGAGAGCGCCTTCGCGTTGCCCTTCAGGCTCTTGTGAGTGCCCTGGGGAGAGAGAGCAGAGTGGGGAGGCCCAACCAAGATGCAGCACCAGCAGGACCAGTCCCTGCAGAGGGGCCGGCTCGGGGAGAGGCAGCAACTGAGGCTGGGAGTTGAGAGGAAAGGTGGGTGGTGCCTGATGGCAGATTCTGAAGGGCTTTGAGGATCTTGTCTTTGCGCACGAGGGGAGGGGGGAAGACGGGGAGGACGGACCTAGAGAAAGAGGCCCTGACCAATCCTCTAAGTGATCCCTGGCCTCAGGGAGGTGGCCCCACTTACCAGGTCAGCTGAGACAGCAGTGGTGATGAGCGCATATGGGCCGTTGACCAGGGCCCCACAGATAATCAGCATTACTGAGGTGGTGAAGAGATGGCCCAGTTACAGAGGAGAGGCCCCCACCACCCCCAGCCCCAGAGCAGGTGAGTCCCCCAGGCATCAGGCTGAGAGCCTCCACTTCCCTGAGCCTCCCACCAATGCCCCAAGCCAGCTTCGTGGGACCCCAAGGCAGGGCCGTCTGCTCACCTATGGAGATGCTAATCCCATTCTGGCCAACGTAGTTGTACAGGAACATCTAAGAGAGAAGAAGGGGACAGGCAGAGTCACACCCTGGCTTCCATGCAGGCCCCTGTGTCAGACTGGAACCTAGAACTCGGGGAACCCCAGAGATCCCCTTCCTCCTTTCCCTCCTCATACCCAGACCTCTCAGCCTTCACGAGTCCCAGGGATACAAGGTCTAACACGTGGTAAACTACTATTTCCCTCATAAAAGTCTCCTCTCATATTCAACCTCCATCTCTTATTTGTTCCTTGGTCAAGAAGTTTGCCCCCTCCTGCTCCACCAAGGCCAAATAGCCCCTTTCCAAAATTCTCAGTCTGGATTTCTTTCCTGTGCCAACCTCGGCTTCCCCTCCCATGGGGGTGTGCAAACGCACACAGAGAAGGGC